AGGGGCAGGGGAGCTCACAAAGGAAGACAGGACAAAACCTGAGAGGGGAGGGCCGAGGCAGCGTGGTGAAGCCCAGGAAAAGATGGCTAAGCCTTTGTTAAACCCAATCACAGCGGTGGGTGGGAAGCATGAGTCTCCCCTCGGCAGTGGGGAAAAGAGCGGAAGGCGGACGGGGCGGCCTGGCTCCGAGTCTAGCTCGGCCAGCTAACCCTCTGTGTCGCCTTGGGCAAATAGCCTTCTGGCCTCCGGTGCATTAGCTGTTGAATCAAAGCGGGTCAGGGCAGTTAGGCCAAAGATCCCTTCAGGCTGCAAGGGACACCCTACAAGGGGCCCGGGAGGGACGGAGGGGTTGGCTGCGGGGAGGGGAGGCCAAGTGTGTGCAGCGCAGGGTGGGCAGGGTCTGGGCATGGTGAGGGCAGCGAAGGGCAGCCCTCTGCAGGCTCAGAGGAACAGCCTGGAAGGTTCTGAGGGCACCAGGAAGGAGCTTCTAGGAGCGGCGTGCATCTATGTACGAGAGAGAGAGAGAGAGGCTGCAGCGGGCCCCTCCCTGGTTCTGGCTGGGAGCTGTCGCTGGCCGGGCCCTGCCTGTTCCTGCGCTGAGGGCAGCCGGGGCGGGTCACATACCGTGAAGATGTTGGAGCGCCGCTTGGACTGCTTGCGGATGGGTGTGGGGGTGGAGGAGGCGGCGATGGTCTCGATGCGCAGCTCCCGCTGGCTGATGCTGGGGGTGGAGGGGACTGAGGAGGAGTAGTCGCTGAAGGCGCTGCCGCCGCCATTCGAGGCCTACGGACAGAGAGGGCTGCTGAGGGGGGCTCTGGGGCGGGCGCCAGGAAGCCCTGCAGTAGCAGGGCACACAGGCTGCTAGCTCCTACAGAGAGGAATTTGGGGGGGTGGGCATCTGCCCGGCTAGGGAGGATACCCTCGTCCTGGGGCCTGGGCAGGGGAGCCCAGCCAGGAGCTCCATCAGAGGCACAGGTGACGTCAGGGACAAGCGTGAGAGGAGACAAGACTGTGGGTGACGTCCTGGCTCATCAGGGGCCCGGAAGAAGGCTACTCAGAATGGACACCCCCCCTCCTCCAAGTCCGGGACGCAAGGGTTGGTGGGGGGTGGGGGGAGGCTGAGGTTTGCTTGTAAGATGTGTGTGGCTGAGAAAGGATTCTCGCCCCGGCATGGGGCAGAGCGCAGCTGTGAGGCGGCCAGAGTACGTTGCAGAGACCAGAAGCGACCACAGGGTGAGGTTGCAGTGCACGGGAGCCCCTGCCTTGCCGACGGCCCTCCCTAGAGCACGTGGCCTGGCTTCACCTCTGTGGGGCCCTAACTTGTGCAAACGTGGCCAGTGCCCGGACCCAGGCCCTCCCCTCTGCCTCCAGGGCAGGGCTGCTTCCTCCACGCCCACAGGGGCCAGGCGCTGGCCCAGGAAAGTGGGGGGACGGGGCCAGACCTGCAGAGCGCCCCCACCTGCCCCAGGGCCAGTGCCGAGCAGGCCTAAAGAACTTTCCTCTCTTCTCTGCACCCGCTGGGCCGGGTTTCCTTGGGAAGCAGTTTACAAGATGATTCTAATGGCGGTACCCAGAGCAAATGCTTGTGCTGTCTGAGCTGAAGTTAGGGGTGGGGATGAGAGACCGTAGAGAGCAGGGGCTGGGAAACCGAAGCAGGAAGATGCAGTCCCTGCAGGACACAGCCAAGGCCAAGGCCGAGCATGCAGGCTACGCGGAGTTCCAGCCACATGCAAGGTTGGGAGGCCACAGGGGAGGTGGGCAGGTGTGAGGAGGCGGTGGCAGAGGTGGCAGAACACAGAAAGACAGGAGGACTGGAAGCTGTGGGGGAGGGGAAGGAGTGGGGGCGCACCTGGTTGATGTGCACAGCTGGGATAGAGGCAGCAGACACGGCCGAGTGGCTGGGTGAGTTGGGCAAGGACTTGCAGGGCCCGATGGCCAGCTGCTGCTTCTTCCTCAAGGCCACCACCTTCTGGGCCACTGCAGGGGACAGCAGAGTCAATTACACCCGCTAGGGAGAAATGGAAAGCCCAGCTTAGCCCCTGCCCCACCCCCACCCCCCGCCCCTCCAGGGACTCAGGCTTGCTGGCCCAGGAGTTGCCTGCGCCCTGCTCTGGGGCCCGAGTTACCGTCCTGGAAGACGCGCTCCACGTTGAGCCCGTAGGTGGCGCACGTCTCGTAGTAGGTGCAGCGCTTCAGGTCTGTGGACAGCTTGCGGGCTCTGCTGTCGTCAATGACCCGGGGATTGGCGGCACTGATGGCGTCTGTTGGAGGCGGGGTGGGAGGGGGGGGGGCTCACTCGGCTGGCTGAGAAGCCAGGGGAGAGGAAGGAGGGCCATGCGCTCCAAGGGCGAGTGGAACACACAGGGCTCTAAGAACTTGCTTCCACCTCCCTGAGTGGAAATGAGCCAACCACTTTATTCATCTCAAAAAAAGAAACCCGTGGACAGGAGTGTCACACCTATGGCAATAGCAAGACTCAGCCGGGTAGGGGGAAGATCCGGGACGAGGGGTCCTGGGAGCGCTGGGCAGTAGGGGACCTGGGGGAGGGGGCGCTCTCACATCTGTCCACCCAGGCTGCACCCAGCCCCAGGGCCTCCCCGCCTCACCCTGCGTGCCCACCAGCACCATGGGCACCTCGCTGGTGTTGCGGAAGCTGCAAAGCCGCAGGAAGTAGTTGTACACCGTCTGGAAGCTGATTTCATCTTCCAGGCTGAACACAAACACCACTGCATCCACCCAGGCCGCAAACTAGGGGAGACCGAGCAGAGTTAGCTCTCGCGGGGTCCCCGGGGGCAACTCCCTCGCTGGGTGGGCAGACCCAGGGGGGGCAGGCCCAGGAAGCACCCCCTCCCCAGACACGCAACCTCGCTCAGTCCCAAGTCTTAACCTCGAGAAAGGGGTGCCGAGCACAGGGGTGGCCCCAGGCCCTGGGGCAGGAGCATCACCTGGAGCTCGGGGGGGCCTCCTTCATCTCGGATCAGCAGCAGGTAGCTCTGGCCGTCCACCACAATCTCTTTCTTAAACCGACCCCCTAGGACAGAGTGCAGAGTCAGGGCCCACCGTGGGGCGCACCCCAGGAGGGCTGGGCAGTGCAAGATGAGAGAGGAGCGAGCAGAGCCAAAGACAGAGCCGGGGCGGGTGAGTGTGCCTCCGATCCCGGGCTGGCCCGTGACGCTCACCTTCGGGGGACTCCTCCTGGACGTAGGTCCCCGTCAGATAGCGGTGCACCAGGGCCGACTTGCCACTCGACAGGTTCCCTACTATGCCCTGCAGGGGAGGGGAGCGGCAGTCAGAGGGCATGGAGTGGGAGGAGGCAGGGCAGGGAAGACAAAGCAGTACAGGGAGGAGATGGGGGTGGCAGATGGGGTGGGAGAGGCCGAGCCAAGAGGCCAAGGGGGAGTGGGCGCTGGCAGAAGCAGCGCCGGGCCTCGCCCACCCAGTCCCAGGCTCGTGGGCACCTCTGGGCCTCACTCACCACTTTAAGCTCCGGCACAGAGCGGCTCAGGGTCCACTCCTGGCTGTTCACAAATGAATCTGTGAAGACAGAGCCGCTCGGTCAGGGCCAAGGTCAAAGACACGCCTGTCCTAAAGCCTGCTGCCAGGGTCTTCCCCTAGGCATTGGATGGGATCCTGGCCTGGACCCCTAGTCCCCCAGGGAGCAGCAGGAAGACCCTGAGGCTATGGACTCAGACTACACGTTGAACCTGGGACCTCTCCAGCAAGCGATTGATTCCCACCTCAAACCACACCTGGCTTCTCACCCAGGTCAGACTTCTAGTCCCCCACACAGACTGGGCACCCAGCTGAGGGTCCCCTAGCCTCCTTCGAGTAGGAGCAGCTCACCCTTGGGAGGGTGGGGTCGCCCATCACATTCCCGAGCCAGAGGGCGGAGCCTCACCTGGCCCTGTTGGCTGAGAGGCAGGTGGAAATAGGTTCCTATCTCCTCCACACAGCCCTCCCCCTCAGACTCCTCCCTGGTGGGAAGCCCCACCTTCTAGACCGCTTGCCTTTTGGCCTACTCTCTGCACCACTGCTCTCCCCCGACTCAGGAAAGCGAAGCCTCTGGCTAACTGGATTCCCCTCCCCCCCACAGCGAGCCCCATCTCTCTCCCCCAGGTTCCCACGGCACACAGTCTAGCCCGGGACAGCCCAGCAGGCTGGGCGGTGCCGGCTTCCCAGCCCCTGCTCCTAGACACACTGTCCCCAGAAATGTTTTGCAGCTCTGGGGGACCGGGTCTCCAAGTACTCAGCTTCCAGGGCTCAGGGCGGGCCTGGGGGCTAGGAGACGCGTCCAGTACAGCCTGCGACCTCCTGACTCTCATGCAGTTCCTTCGGATGCAAACTCTGGAGCTTTCTTCCCGTTCCAGGATGCCAGGGACAGAGCTATCGCCTGAACCTGCCAGCAGTCTCTCTCTGCCACTGCCCACGACCCCAGCCACTTGCGCCAGACCCAGCTAGCTCGCGGCCCCGCACGGCGCACCCACCTCCACCAGGTAGGTTCCCGACAGACTCTCACACAGCTCTCAGTTTCCTGCTAGACTCCACCCGGGGAGGCCACCCAGGCTCCGCGCGGCCATTCCCCTTACCGCTCGGCGCGCCCAGGAGCCCGGGGACCGCGGCCGCCCGGCGGCTCCACAGCGGCGCGGGGGGCGCGGGCTCCCTCCGGCGGAAGCGGCTGGTGAGCAGCTTCCAAAGGCTGGCGGCGGTGCGGGGGCGGCCCGGCTCGGGCGCGGCGCGCGGGGCCTCGGCGCCTAACAGGTCGCGGCGGCTGGGGAAGGCGCTCAGGGAGCCGGTATCGCCGTCGCTGCGGGTGCGCGCGCGGGGTGGCCGGGCCAGCAGCCCAGGACTCGGAGCGCCGGATCTCCTGGCACCGGCGCTGGCGGACACTGAAGCTCTTCCTGAGCGCAGACAGGCCGCGCCGGGGACCCTCGGCGCCGCGGCCTACCGGCAGCCACGGGACACCTGCCAGCGCTTGG